TATGTAAAAAAAAGTTTATAAAATTACCATTAAAACAAGAATTACGCATATTAAATAAACCTTTTTAGCAGTGAGAACTAAAACTGTCTAGCCTCTGATGAAATCTCAGAAGCTTAACCTCAAGCAAGTAACTGGTCAAACTATACACTGCTTTTCCTTAACAAAAAAGTTTGAAAATGAAAAAATTGACCTTTGTAATTCGTGAACTACACAATTCAACAATTCGCAGATTTGGTCCCTCAACATATAACACATTTCCTGGCTAACATCCGCATTACCACTGATGATTCCGTCATTGACGGTCGCCATAAAAGTGTCCATGAATGAGGTAATGGTAGAGATAATAGATGTATGTAACGGACATAAGCTGCTTTGCTAAAAAATTGATTAGAAATTGCATTGTAGTCTTTCGACAGAAATAACTGGTCAGACAGATAAAAAACCTGTAATTCGACGGCGTGCAACCAGAGCGTGAAACATCGATGCAACTGACCCAGATCACAATAAACAGCTCCTCTGTAGCGAATGAAATAGTGCGTTTCCGGGTGAGACCTTCCCAAAATCCTTTCACGAATAATCAAAGCCTTAGAAAGAGCAAATAATTCTTTACTGATTTACTTGATTTGAAAAATAAGTAAAAAAAATAAAGCAGAACAATACTTGGCTACGAATGCTATCTGGGTCGCCAACTATATCACGTATTTCTGAAAGAGAGTCAATTTCCAGTAGGTTACCATAAGCTGCTTCTGGCTTCCTTTCTGACAATGGTTTGCCATAGTTCATGGCTTCCTCCCAAATTTTCGTTGCAGCTCCCAAATCCATCTTCTTGTCCACCAGTGTTGCACCATACAACTACAGAATATAACTGTTATTCATGACCCTCAAAAAAATAATCAAAAAAATCACTACTGCTGCAGTAAAATGAAACGCAACAAGAATATATAAAACTTATCCATATTAAGATTTCTTATAATTGAATTCAATAAAAAAGATTCTTGGGACAAACCTTTAAAGCTTCTCGCATCTGCTGTGAATCCACTATAGGCTCAAATAACCGAATTACTTCTTCGTTTCCTGACATGGCAGCGCATTTCAATGGAGTAACATTTGCATCGTCTGGAACGTTCACTGCTCCTGAATCAAGCAGCAAACGTGTTATTGGAACACTTCCAGCCTCCGCCGCATCGTGTAAAGCAGTGTTCCCTGAAGAAATATATTTCTGCATCACAACAAAAACTAAATAAAATACCATTTGAAAGTTTTACGTGTACTTGTTGTACTTTCACCATTTGAAGCCGTCCCCCTTCATGAATTGGAAAAGAAAAGGAAAAAATATACTTGAAAAGTAGAAAAAGAGTGAAAACAATATTGCACCCGACCAGTCACCTCTTTCTGAAGCCTTTAGTGGGTCAGCTCCTTGAGACAAAAGATATTTCACGACAAAATGATGCTTCCGAAAAGCAGCTATCATAAGTGGAGTATGACCGTGCTGGTTTGCTAACTCAAAATCTGCTCCTCTCTCAACCAAATATTTCACTAAAAACGAATGCCTTTCGAATTGAAATAATATTCGGGGACAATAAAATGGTTAAGAATTGAGTTTTTACAAACTTAATTTTTTTAGTTTCAACTAGTGTGTAGCAGGAAATCCAGGTAGTAAAGCTAAACCAAGAATATTGTATAATACATCAAAATAATCCATTACTCGTATATTTCTGATTCTTACCAACATCCAAGTGACCATCGTAACAAGCGCCGCGCAGTGGAGAACTATGCGTATCCGTCGTCTGATTTATATCAGCATGTCCTTCCTCTACTAGACATTTGACAATGTCTAAATTCCCAGCAGCTGCTGCTGCCCACAACGCTGGTGCATGGGCTAAAAAACTAAGCTTAATGGGAAAATCTGACCTTTGCTATACCAGCAATTACAAAACACAGTTCTCGTTGACTACCCCTTGTGTTGCCAAAAAACCGTAAAATTTTTTGAACGTTTGCTACCTTAGGCTGTCAAAAAAATTTCAAACGAAACCTCTAGAATCATCGTCTTTTCAATAGACACAGGAGAAGTGGAAGACTTCCCTTTAAAAAACTTCAACAAGAATTCCTCCACCTCCTGTTATTCCCTGCCTTAGTCAAAAACTAACGCCTTCATTTCAAAAATAGCTCCTTTTTACCAAATAGTGAAAAAAAAAGAGAAATAAATAAGACACAAGCAAATTTTATTTTTCCAATGACAGAAAAAAATAGCACTATTAATTTTAGTATAATTCTTTCAAAATAAAGGCTAGACTAATTATATACGCAACCATTCATTAATGTTTAAGTAATGGGCTGAAAAATAAAAAATTGATAAAAATCAGTTGAAAAAACAGGAACAAATAAGAAACTAAGCAGCTCAAAGGAGCACAAACAAGGACTGAAGAAGACTTACGTATAACTTCGCCATCAAAAGAAACTGTTCCAGTGGCAGAAACATCTGCACCTTTTAGCAGCTGGAAAAAGAAAACCTGAATTTCGGTCGCAAAAAAACCTCCTAATATTTGAGAAGAACAAGAATACATACAGCTAGCAACTAATAAAGAAACATTGTTTATGCAAAAAAGTTTTGAGTACCATATGAACTTTTTGACACAATTGTATAAAGCTGAAGAAGAAACGAAAATTAACTACGAGACCACTCTCAAGATGATGTCAAGGTCCTCCAAAAACAATAATAGTTGACTGTTGTAAAATCAAAACATTAATAACTGCTAACAATTTTAAATTATTACCAAATATCGTACTACTTCAAGATGCCCATTGCGAGCAGCAATCACAATTGGCGGGGTTTTCCGGGAAGAACCACAAAAGCACTTATCCAACCAGTCCTTTGTTCTATCTTCTAAAAAAATCCGCAATCTTCTTAAATTACCATCACGGGCTGAGTTGTAGACGACAGCCTGATACTCTTCTCCATTCATTAGCACCTCCTGCAGTGCAGCATAAAAAAACTAAGCTATACAATAACACAAACAGACCACCTGACACAAAATGAAGAGAAAAACGAATCAATAAATTGAAGCACAAAGTAAAGAAAATAACATTCTTTAGTCTATTATCAAAATAACACCCTTATTAACAAAATTTTTTAACAAATTAAAAAATATTAAGGATCAAGTTTTTTTATCAGCTGCTAACCTGCTTTATTTGATTCTAAAAAATAAAACAGGAGTCAGTTTTCGGGTTATTTTTTCTGCTAAGTAAATATGAAAAGATTATAGATAACGAAGTCATGATACAAGTGAAGTTTTTTTATTGCAACAAATGGAAGAAAAGAAACAGATTTTATAAGTCATCTAAGCACAATTAGATCATTTCTAAACTACACGAATAATTCCACTTAAAAAACAACGAAGAACTTTCGTCTTTGTTTGCCACAAAAAAAAATCTAAACAATAAGAGAGTTCAGACTGATCGCTTCTTACATCATGCAAAACAGACCACTGCTTCACCAAACTGCTGTTAATATTATCGCACTGAATGAAAGAGAATAAAAACTAAAAAACACTATTGTTCGGTTTCATAAGCATCATCTGTGCGAAATAAACTACTGCTTGATAAATAGTATTAAATCACTGGTTAAGAACATGATAGAGAAATGATCTTACTGGATACTTCTATTAACACACTGGATTCATGATTCAGATTAAGTATCCAAATAATTTTCTTAAACTGCACATAAGTGTTACCGTCAAACAGTGAAACTGCATTTCATTTCTCTTTGTTTCGCAGATTAAAATGTCTAATCTCTGCTCCATTGACTAAATAAACTATATTATTCGGTAAGCCTTTACTCTCTCAAAACGATATGGCTAAAAAGAAATAAAACTAAAACCATTTGTCAATAAGGCGTAAAAAAGCCAAACTAAGCCCATTTGTCAATAAGGCGGGGCAAAAACAATGTTACAGCCCAAAGTGCATTGAGGAAAAACTATGAATGCTATCTGTTTAATACGTACTCGGGCAGCAGTGCACAGAAATTAACCATTAGCAATTCCGATTTACAACAACTATATTGGAGAACTCTTATAAAAACCAAAAGCAAATCTCAAAAAAACATAACATGCAACAACAATATAAGACAAAGAGTTTGGCAATAATTCACTGGCCCTGGAATGCTTTCTTCAGCAAAAAAGCGTAAACACCCTTAGAAAAAAAATGGAAAGTTAATCTGAAAATAGTGAAAAAAAAATAACTTCATAAATACTGAATTTTATTGTACTCTCCATAATCACAACTGTTTTCATAAAATTTTATCAGCCTAGCGGTCGTCGAATCAGATGCACTAAAATGTGCTAAAGAAAAAAGAATTATTTACAGTGAACGTTTTTGATTTTAGTGCAAAATAAAAGGAGAGAAAAAAAAATCGTGAAAAAAGGCAAAAGAAAAAACCATGATGCTGTAATGTATAGCGATCTTTGATGCCTCTTTAACTTAATACACGACAGCTCCTAACAAAAATCTAACAAATTACGTAGGCTCTTACTCTTTTTACATAGAAGAATATAATAACTTATTATACGTTTCAAGATAAAAGAACAAAGTGGACTTAAGATGACTGTAAGAACCTCAATACACATGCAGAATAAACTGCTAAACTTCATGAAAAATGTTTCCATTTTTACAAAAAATCAGCATCAATGTAGCTAAAAATAATCACCAAAAAAGAAACAAGTACAAAACTAAACAGTAAACAAACATAGCAGTAACAGCAACTACAGCAACAACAAGTAATGTATTTATAAATCATATAAATGAATAGCTCTGTTGAAGAATCATAAAACAGCACTTGTTACATACTTCTCCCTGCTTCCTTCTTTCTCCACTCCTCTCCCCACAGACCCTCTTTTGACACCTCAAATTAACGGCAGTGATAGCAACAACGACAGCAAGCACTTATGAAAAAAAAAAAAAAAAAGAATCGACTGCCCGTCCGTCTGTCAGTCCACATATCTGTCCTGCCCTGATGCGTTCATGAGTGAACTTCTTGTCCCAAAAACAAACAAACAAACATCAGAGCGCGCAGGGCCAACGTTTAATCCAGAGATATTTCACTACGACAAAGTTTTTTTTCGGAATTTCGGTTCAAGATACGTTGGCAACATGCCAAATCGTTATATCATACACTCTCCAGTAAAAACAATAGCTGCGCGTGTTTTGCTGGGCTACCGCTCCGTGGCTGCCTTCATCCCTACAGTCAGTCCACTACCCCATCGTTTATTCAGCGCTTCTGTTGTCGTCAATACATTTAACCGTTTGAAACAAAACTTGTTGGATTATTGAATTTAACTTGACAAGTAACTGATTGTTGCAGGTACGGCGAAAGTTCAACTGGTATTGTCAATCTTTTTTATTTTTTTGCTTTAAGTTGCAAATGATAAGAACGTCAAATTAACCAGCATTGTTGTTGAACAATACGGACTGCAAAATTGCTACAATAGGCAGACAATTTTTTTTATTCCTTTTTTGCTACTGGTTCTTAGTGCATTTTTTGTTCCATCAGGTGAGTTTGGTGTTTTTTTTTCTAGTTTTGATTTCTGCCTTATATGTATGATGAAGGGTCAAGAATTGATACCAACCATCAATTTACTGTTTTCGATAGTACTAGATCTCTATGCTTTTTTTTAGTCATCTGCGTCAAAAAGAATTACGGTTCTTTTAATGCCATTCAAGCTTTTTTTCTTTTCTTTCTCATCTTTCTGTTCTTTAATGCATTTTACAGCTGAAGTTATGACTGATTCTACAAACGCAGATGTCTTTTATGACTGATTAGTATATAACAGTTTTCATTGTTACATCTTCTTTTGGTGCTGATATAACGGTTTTTTCCTCAATTTTTTTCTGGCTTTCATAGGTAGGGGTTTCGGAGCTAAAAAAGGGCTAAATTTTAAGTTGTTGCGATGCACTTATTCTCCTTCGTTTCAGCCCAGCTGTGAAGTAGTACAGTATAGTGTCTCGTGTAGTTGCTATACTCTTGAACATAGTTTCATTGGTTAATTGTGAAAAAAAGTCAATGAAACTGATCACTACGAAAAAATTTCGTTTACTCTGCAACAGAATGGTTATAAGGATTGGTTGAATTAGGGATTCAATGTTTTTTGGTTGGTTTCCCAAAAAGTCCTCAAAGTGCGTCGCTAATTGATTTATAACTTACAAGATAACATGTCACGTCTTACAGAAATTCAGGAGTGCAAAGTGCTCAGCAGTAATTCAAAGCCAGTTCAAGATCGCAATTCTTACTCGTCTTGCCTACTATCTTTTTTAAAATCTTCATCTCTTTCAAGTGGGTCCCTTCACATCAGTCTTCTTCTGTGTTTTTTATGCGTCTCTTGTAACTCAAAACGACTTGAAATGAGGACTTCTTGGAAAATCGGTTTCAAAGCTGTATATTTATTGCGCTAGTTGAAGAGATGTGTTTGTTGAAGTTGGGAAAAAGTTATCTCGGCTTATATGACAAAGCGATTTTGCAACATTAAAAATTGGTTGTACAGGAGGGGAACATGGTGTTACTTTTTTAAATTTAAAATTTAATTCAATGCAAACATTGCCAGTGGAAAGGGAATGTTAGAATTATGTTACAGGTAGGGATTGGAATAAAGCAAGTTTCCAACTAAATTGGGGCTATGGTTTTGAGTCTAATTTAGTTGGTGTTTGCAGTGTTTAGCCTGTGGACAGTAATTGGTGCTGTGTTCATCAGTCACGTTGCAGGTGACTAGGGAAACATAGAGGGCAGTTTATTTGCGGTTATTTGTGGAAGTATAGAGCAGTCCTTATGAATTGAAAGAGAAGAAATGAAGTTTTGGAAACTTTTTCGGCAAATGTGACGACTTTGAGGAATTACACCTTCGATTTAAAATTTTTCAAGCTGACATAAAAAAGGCTATTTCTACTGTTTCAGTCAGACACAGCTTTTTCTTTGTATCATTTCTGATTCATAATTCTATTGAATAATTCGACATGTGTATCAACTGTCTTCTTCAGTTCGTCGATGGGTATAAATTCTCTTTCCGAATGCGCATTTTCCATATTCCCACCGCCAAATAAGTAAGCTCCTTTTAGCTTATTTGCGCCAACGAAATAGGGCAGGTCGGTATTGAATGGTACAACACAACTTTCTATATCTAACGGAGGCTCTGAAATTTTGCTTTTTGGTCACTGAAGCTTATATTTTTTCCTGCTGACTGTTTCATGGGACATTTCGTTTAGGCAGTCATTGAAAAAGCTTCGTTTTTTTTTTTT